GAGGTCATGAAAGGAACCAACACACCATGCATTACTGTGGAGATCTATCACAGACCTAATTTTTGCTCTTGACATTATAGTTGCCAATTATTTGTAATTAGTTGCTGGAAATTTTTGGTGAAAGCTCAGACAGCTTCTTTAAAGATCCCTGTCATCACTCATATGTATGTCACCGAGCCTGGTAAACCTCTGTGTTAAAAGACTTAATGGGCTGGAAAGGTGTACTGGGAAATGAAAGTAAGGTAGGTAATGGATTCAGGGGATGGTAAAGGCTTATGCAGTCCATTGACAACTGCAGTAGCATCAGCAAGAAATGAGAGGGGGCTTTGAAATGCCATCTCGGCCATTCACATGGTCTGATCCCAGATCTTGGGCTCTGCTGCAAGAGCGCTGTGGCCTGTAACCTTACTTTAACAGCCCCTGATTGAGTCTCTCTTGGTGAAGGAGAATCTCTCAGATGTCTGGATGACACTTGATGTAGTTTAGATGTCGATGCCAGAGCAGGCTGGCACGGGATTAGGCAGCACTTGTGGCCTTGGGTAAGCCAAGGGACCGTCAACCCAGGATTAGGAGATGGTGTAAAGCCACCCTTTCATCTCTTCCTTCTTGAGCTGCCCTAGAGAGGAAAAGGACAGGGCCCAGGAGTTGGTCCTTCCCAATTTTGTATCACTATGCGTAGGGCAATGTGCCCAACGTCTGGGCTGGATCTCCGGGGCAGGAGAGCGTTGGACCATACTGGTAGCCTTACCCCCTCTGTGGCTTGCATCAGAGTCTGTCTTTTGCCTAGAAAGGGGGCAGTAACTTCTGGGGCTGCCAGGCTTTCTAAAGCCAGCAAAGAGGAAAGGTCATGGCTCCCCATACCATCAGCAGCTTGTCCTGCATCTTCTGCGCATCCCGTTGCCCTGAAAGGGTTTGTCCCCAAGTTCCCCATGGGGCAGAGGGACTCCAGATGTCCTGATCTGGCGCCCTGGTGGCTGTTGTTTGTAATAGGATTATAAACGAATCAGGCAGGCTTCCAAGACCAGAAGCAGAGGTTACTTACTGGTTAGAGTTTTAATTTTGGTTTAAATGAACGTAATGCTCAAGAAGGATGCCTGCTCGCCCTCTCAGCAGGGCGGAGTACTTTCTTCCCCACCAGATAACAGCTATGGCGCTAGGAGCAACTGGGCAGATGTGGCCTGGCAGCACGGTCAGGCCTCGATCTGAAATGACGACCTTTAAGGGAGAGGCAGAAGCGTCGTCCGTGTGTCTGTCAGTTCCTGGCCTCTCTGGCCCTTGTCAAGGAGCTCTTTAAAGCTCTGTCTGAGGATCTTTCACAATGTCTTCTCTCCATTACGGAGTTCACGTGTGAGGACTGCCTTTTGGCCTGTCTACACCGAGGTGTAGTGCTGCTGCGGCTGCTGTAGTACTGCTGAGGCCCCTTTCCTGTGTCTTCTCTGCCTTAGTGAAATGGATTTGAGTTTCCTGAGCTTATTCCTCACCTGGTGCAGAGATCTGCCCTGGTGACTTCTTTCAGGGTCTCTCTCCTTCCCACTTTGAGGTAGCCTGTACTGTACAGTGTTCCCTGAAATCAAACTGGGAGACTCTCAGTCTGCCTTGTATCATAAGCAACCAACATCTTGGTAGAAAGGAGCAACATTTTACACTCTGCAAAAACAGGAATGGAAGCGACATTGCCATTCTTCCACTGTGCTGGAGTGGAGGCAGGGTCCGCGTTGCCGCTAAGAAACACGCACCTGATGTTACTTGTCGTTGGTTAGTGCTCTTTTTGTGGCACAAAGTAGAGTCAGAGAACATGTGCCTGGTTAAACAGAGGGAAAATAAATCTCTACAAACAAAACTCTCTCTAATGAAGGCAAAGCTTTTAGTCTGTGAAGAATTTGCCTGGCATCCCGGCTAGCTAACTCTTCTTTTTCTTTTTTTGTTCTTTATCATTAGGCTTCCTTGAACTTTAACTGAACCATAAGGAAACTATGAAGAGTCTCAATAGCTGCCCTGTGAGCTTGACTTACCCATTGGATCTGCTATTTATAGTGTCCATTAGTACAAAAATGTCTGTCCTTTTGCAGCAGTCATGTATAGCAAAAACACTGCTCTTCTGGTGAACTGCCTGTGCCTCCTGTGTCACCCAAAATATCCATCAACAGAGTGCTCAAAAGTGAGCCTTTCTTGATAAAAATCCCCAGAGGCCGTTTGTATTTTTATTTATTTGTTTGGGACATTCTGAAATTGAAATTTCCATTTTTCAGGAGGTAACCTTCCACCCCCAGCGCTATCTCTCTGTTGAGCATAATATTTGTTGCCAGCAAATTAAATCAGAAAGATTGCCGAGAGGGTGGGAACTACCTTCCAGCCTTTGGAGAGCCCATTTGCACCCTTGAACCAGGTTCGATGTAAACAAGTAGAAGTTCCATAACAAAGAAGATCATTTTTAGTAGGGCTTCATCTTAACTTGCTGGAAGGAAGCTTGCAGTAGCTTGGGTGATGGAGAGGAGGTGACCGAGTATGTCTCCTTTGGATATAATCCAGGGTACTAAATCTGCTGTATGTTAAATTCTTCATCCGAAAAAACTAATCGCAGCCTTTTCTTAAAATTTTCATGCGAAAATAAGCCTAAAAAATTATTCTCCTAACAAACTTGCCCCAGAAAGGCAATGGGGAAGATTGGTGGGCTCCAAATCAACGCCTTTGTTCTTTAGTCCAGCAAGCTAGCCACACGCATTAGTTGATTTAGGGGGTTAGGCTGCTTGATAACAATGAAGTTGAGGTTCATCTAACAAACCGGGGACACGTTGTTGACTAGAGGGACAGAGAACTAGCACTGTCGTGTCCAGTCTTCTGTTAATGCAGGTGTCCATGTCGTGTAGTCCCTTTCATGAATGTAGCAAGCTCCATCTCAAAAGCCAGTTGAATTTTTTCCTGCTAGTTGGAAAATTTTTCCGGAACTTTACTCTCCTGACAGTAGGAGAACGTCTTCAGTTTTCTAGCCTGAATTTATCCTTGGCAAATTTAGACTTATTTATTCTTGGGCTAACACATTCTTTTAATACTATTTTTTTTTTTCCCCACTATTTGGTGGTTGTTCTGACATACTCATCCATCACCACTCACTATTGGCTGCAGCCGGCAAAACTGTATTGCAGTCACTGCCCTCCTGGCTACCAGTCAAGAGGGAAGTGAAGTTATAAATACACACAATTATAAAAGAAATATTCTTTGGTTTTTTAATACCTCATTACATACTCAGTTTATGCAGAAGAGATTAACGTGGCATTTTGTGTTTAGACGAGTGTGACTGCAAAAGTCAAGTAACTTACATCTCTGCTGCTTTGGAGAAAAAAAATCTGCTTTGCTGGAGAACAAAGAGGATTAACCTTATATTAAAGAACTAAAAAGGAATTCTGCAAGAGTGCTAGTAGTGAGAAGAGATCTTCATTATTAATCTAATGGACAGCGTTACTTGTTAGGATGGTTGCTGTAAAGTCACACGTAGGGCGTTGATGTAAATACACTTTCCCTTCCGCAGCTGGTCGCTGCCTGAAGGAAGTAGTAATGGGTGAGCAGAGAGGTTTTATTCTTGTCCTCGGTGATGGTGATTAATGGGGTTTCTGTGGTGTTTCATCAGAAGAGAAGGGTGTATCGCAGGCTTTAATTAGAATTGTCTGTCTCCACCAGTGGGGTGTAGCAACCCTGAAATCCCTTGTTCTGTTTTCAAGCACCTGCCCTGAATCAGCCTGCGGCGGTGCAGGCAGCAGGCCTGTGGCCACCGTGGCTCGTTGCCTTCCCTAGACTCAGCTCTGTGCCAGATCCCTCCCTCCTGCTTTTGAAACGTCTCTCACCCAGTGCTCAGAAATACCTGGAGAGGGGAGTTTTATTTACACTGACCCTGCCTGTGAGAGGATGGAAGGTGTTGAATAATGAGTAAGGGAAAGCGAGTAAATGTACTGATAAGAAAGTCAAACCCTTTTTGTCTGAATTCTTTTGTAGATGGTTCTGCCGGACAACCCTTAAACCCCTTGATTTGCTAGATCAGAGGTGCCTGAACTGCACTTAGGGAGACCTCTCTGGTGACTTCCACTTGCAGTCGCGTGCCTGCTGACGTGGCGCTGCACCTCTCAGGGCGCAGAGCTGAGATACGCTGTTGCACATGTGGAAGCATTTACTCTTGCGTAGTCCCACTGACATCCTCCCACCCACCAGAGCACCGAATGCCTCGGTTCCTCCCGGGCGCGCAGCCTCTCCACGCACCTTGGTCTGTTGAGCACGTGGCGTCTTGGTGCCACACACCTCCTTGCGGCCTGGAGCTGAGCCTGTGTCTGAGACAGGTGCCCATGAGCTTCGGTCCCACCTTGACAAACGTTCTCCTCTGCAGTTTGTTTGCATGATGTTCAGACCTGCTGTTTCAATAAAGCTTTATGGTGCAGACTTAATCATGTAGAAATGTTATCTGGCCCTTATGTTTGAAGTCCCTCATCAACATAGACTTAGATGTCTGTCTGGGAAATTTTTGAATGCATACTTAATCATATGCTGATGGGGAAGAAATATCATCCCAAGTGCATGGTAAGAATGCAGATAACTCCATATATTAAATGTCAATAAATTCCGTTACTCGATTTGCCTTTCTGCCTCTGCTTGCAAAACTATATGGAAAAAAAAGATTCTAGATATTTAGTGAATGATCATCTTAAATTTTTGCAGTTGCTGCACATTGCCCCGAGCAGACATAAGACCGCATTTTCTAACGACGCTGTATGCATCTTATGCAAAGGCTCAGGTCCTGGTTTTCATAAATACTCAGCATTTTCCACTGAGATCTTTGGAAAAATCTAGTCCTTCTGTTTTATGTTTCATGATTTGCATATGTTTCAGGAAAAAGATTGCCTTTTAAAAATGGATTATATCAGCTTCCTTTTTTAATTTAAGCTAACCTTTAAAAAAAAAAAATCTTTGTCATTAACATACCCTTCTTTGTTTTATTAATTTTGCTACTGCCACAGAAGAAGTGTCTGCAAGGATAGTGCAAGTAGTAACAGCTGAAGCTGTAGCAGTCCTGAAAGGCGAACAGGAAAAAGAAGCCCAGCACAAAGATCAGCCTGGACCACTACCTTTAGGTAAAACGAGATGAAGAACGTTGGAAGTATCCTTGTGTCTGCCAATGTTACACCTACACGTATAGAGAAATGTTACAACTGTGTATTCACGTAGGTTATCGTTATGGGTAAAGTAGAGTGCTGTTGGATAAATTATGGAACCCTGTAATGATAGTTCCTTATTTCCGCAGTTCACCACGTACCTTTGACTGTCTCATTCACTGTACGCTCACAACAGCAGTTCTCCACCTGGTTTCTGACTTCTGAGCAGAGCCTCTGTGAATGCGATTATTGGTGGCAGTTTTGTCATTGGCGTTGTATTTGGTGGGACCCAGCAGCGCTCAAAGCCCCTTTGTGTTCAGCCTCATACAGCGAGAGAGTATGATTGATGGCTAGGGAGGCAAAAGTTAGAGGAGGGGCATAGAAAACACAAGTAAGGTTTGGTGGTTGGGTGGTAGCTACTCAGAAAGGTGAAGGAAGAGCAGCTCAGGAAGAAGCAGAGAAGAACATGGAACATCAGGCAGAGGTGGGAGAGGAGATAACGCTTGGGCAGAGCGAAGCGGGGTGATGCAAGGTAGAAGCAAGAGCTAGTGGTCCAGCCTGGGAATAGTCCCGCTGGCCACAAAGTCTGGGCTGTGCCCTCACCCTGCTGCTCTGCTGGATCCTTTGTGAAGTTTCTCTGAAATGTAAGTCTATATAAACGTGTCATGTTGATAATCGTTCTGTCAGGTGACATGCCCGCCCTTCCTACTGGAAAGCTTCCATGGTAGTCCAAAACTTGTATACCAAAGGCCAGAGAAAGGTTGTACTCTGTCCGGAGGTAGTGAAAGGCTTGTAAGCCTACCCTGGGACAAGCTGTGCTGAGTGGGTGATGTTCTGATCAAATCAAAACTATGCCTTGTGGTACTTTTCTTGCAGGCACTTTGCTGTATTCGGTACAACGGCTGGACTCTGCTTAGGAATAAATAAAGGTCAATTAGTAATTAAAAACATTTGTTGAAAATTTGGTTCTCAAGATCTTTTGCTTCACTGAATTTATTTTGTGCTGAAAGTGCAGCAGGGAGATCTGGTGCTTAATAATTCCCTTCTTTACAGAGCCTCGATTTTACGTGAAAGACTCCAATTCGGCAAAGCACTAGAGATATATATGTGTAAGCGCAGAGTACTTTACTGGGACCTTCGTGAGGCAAAACTAAGTATGCGGTTGCGTCTAGTTAGATAAGACATTTTAAGCGTATTATGAGAAATGCACCTTCATTTAGCAACAGTTGGTGTTACAGGTCCTACGGTCAGTGACTTGCTATATAAATGCAGGTAGAATTGCATTGTAATGAAGGCATAAATAATCTGCCGCTGACAAGTGCATTTTAAGGGCAAGTCACATAAGGATCTATTCCAAACCACACTAAATTCAATAGAAAGGAGGCCAGGGGAAATTCTTCAGGAGCTTTGAAGCTGGTCTTACTAATGCTTGGGAAGAAGCCCTGCATCATGAACTGAGATCTGCCTGTCAGTAGGAGCCATTTATAACATAAATCTGTTGAAACAGATTTGTGGCTGTTTTTTTTACCCCCGAGTAGTGGGTTCATAAAAAAAAAAAAATAATAATAAAAAAGAATCTCAAAACAGTTAGTAGGATATCGGATGTAGAGATTATGCTGACTTCATTTAAGTAGCAGCTTGTTCAGGATTTCATCATACTTCCATTGAAATCACCAGGAAAAACAAATCATCTGGTTTCAGCATCTAGTCTCATGACTGGGAATGAATCTAAAACCGTAGTAGATTTAGACTTCTTTACAGCACCTTTTTCAGCTGAATCACTACTCTGCGATGGCTGACACAAGTCCCCTATTGTCATGTTCTCCTTGCCTGGAGTGGTACCTCTAGCTAATGTCTTTTTTATTTAGACAAGGGTTATTTGCATGTTTTCTGTGATTAACCTTAACTCAGCAGAAGGTGGGGCGGGGGGGGAAAGCTGGCAGAATGTGGCAGAATGTTTTTGTCCACATCCTCAAGGTAAACAGAAGAGATTGGATGCCAGTTACTCGTGGTTCCAGATAATCAGCCTGGATTTGTATCTCTCGTACTCTCATATTTTATTGTTGTTGCCTTTTGACTCAAAGTTTTCTTAAGTGGCAGTACATATCTAAAAGATAATTTTGTACTTGGTTTTTGTGTTGTACTCTGTGACTAGAATTTTGAAATTAATGTATGCCATCTGAAAAAAAAATCCTTTTGGTATAGCTTTAAAAATCCAGATATTTTAAAAGGGTCTCTGTCTGAAAATCTGCTAAATACAGTCCCCATTGAGTGGGGACTCAGCTCTCTCAGCTGGCCAGAGCAGGCTGACTGCAGCTTGCATCGAGCATCGATCCCCCGGGAATTAATTGCTGTTTCTCATTTTCAATTGTTTGATTTCTAGCAGTTGAAGAGTCAGCCAACCTGCCTCCTTCCCCGCCTCCATCGCCAGCTGCAGAACAGACGGGAACTCTGGAGGAAGGTAAGGGTCTCCTGGCCGCTGCAGTGTACGGCTGTCAGCAAGGCATGAGACAGGCATCTAAAGGATGGGGGAATCGGAAAACGGAGAAACTTTCTGCCAGCTCCATGTGAAAAGACAAGGCGTTCCCCAGCAATAATCCCCCAATTGCAAACCAGCTGCAATGCATGGATGAGGTAGAAACGTATTCACAGGGGTAACTGACAGGATGTGTTAAGTATATCCCTGTAAAAGAAAAAAAGATGGTGATGATGGCCTTTTTATCTGTCAAACACGGTATGATCCAGGATGTCCGCTATCTCCATGTGGTCACCAAAACTTTGGTTCCAGATGGGTCATTTTGGTTTTCTTAGGATTTGTTTAGCTGTTTTTTTTAATCACCATTAACTTTTGTTTTGGAATCTTAAATGCATGAAAGTGAGGAGATTCAGAGTTGGATCATTTCTTTGGTCTTTGGCCCCTAATTTATGCTTCAGTGCCTATATATATTGGGGGTTCTGCTCACAGAGTGCAGAAGTCAAACTGTAGTCTCATAAAGTAAATTTCTACTCTGTTCTGCACGATGATTAGTCAGTCTTAGTAGCCCGTGATCTCTGCATTTTCCTTTTGCTAAAATCCCTGTCTAGCAAAGGACTTAAGCCTTGGCTTTAATTTTAAGCAGATGCCTAAATCCCAGTGAAGTTGTATTCTCGGGGTAATAAGCATGTATCTCAGTGCTGTATTCAACAGAAGCAGACTGCTGCATCAGGGCCGTCGATATAGGGAGACAAAGCAGTATACTAGAACAGAGCCATACCTTATGGACGTGAGGAAAGGATTTGGTGCTCAGAACCCCCAGGGACTCTGTCTTGAACTCTGCCATGTGAACAGCACCTTTATGTGTCAATTGCTATCTTGGATTTTCTTTTTGCTTTTTTTTTTTTTTTTATTTCTTTATTTTTCAGTCCAAACGGCCTTATCACACAGGCTAGGCTACGTTCTGGGTCATCGGAAGATGTTCCAACTGGATAGTTCCTATTTCATGTGCTATCATGGTCTGACTCTCAGTTTATCAGGACGCTCTGCAATTAGGCGTGTTCCATCCTCCGGTCTTTCTGAGATAATGCAATTACAGCCTGTGCTAACACCACCATTTGGCAGTCTACTGTACTGGAAATACCTATTGGATGTGCTTAGTAACCAGTATATAAAATCTGATTAATTGATTTTTTTTTTTTCAAAAACATCTGCCCATTGGGTGTTGAAAAAAATAGTATAACAGTTCCTCAACACGTGACCCAGAGGTAATGGCAATCAAAGCTACTAACTGAAAAGGAAGCTAGTAGGGCATTAACAAAGGCTTTTAGAATTGTTACCAGGGTTTTCCCTGCGGTGTGTTTTTTTTTTTTTTGGTAGTTCAGTTGACTAGTTTGGTGTATGCTTTTTGATTTTTCACAGCACAATAAAGAGCCTGTTCTTCTGCCTCAGGCGCATGTCAAGGTTCTTCCATTATTCTGAGTTTAGGATTAGCTTTGCATACTATTTCTTTCAGCAGTGTTATTTGCGTGTATTTCAGGATTTTGTAAAGTAACCATATTGATTAATTGACTGGAGGTTATGCCTTGGCCACTTAGCAAATGGAAACCATCTTGCTAGTTGTATTAGCACAAGAAGGTGGCAAAACACTATACAATTCTAGGTGATTATGAACTACTGGACTGTGCTGTTCCCAGCTGTGCAAATGACTCAGCCCGTCACTTAACAGGGTTGTTTTTCTCTTTCCTTGGATGTAGAATTGAGTTAATATAATAGCACTTACCTACCCCACAGGGGAGTTGCGAGGACTGAAAGGTCAGTGTTTGGGAGACGTTTTGGATGATTTACACAATGCTACAGTTCTTAAAGCATTCAAATCATTTCCTTTGATGTTAGTCAAAAAGGCTTTTCCATAACAAGATTTTCATCCAACTCTTAATTTTCAGAGCAGAGGCTTGTATAAATTCTAAAAGTATAGGTTCACAAGGGGCGTATTGACAGAAATATGTGCCGAGTCATTAGTGCACTCAGTTGGAAGCTTCTTGTTTATGTCCGACTCTGGAACTGTAGCTCACAGTAGGGTTTGTTGATGAACAGAAGGAACTTCTTGCAGAAATGTTCTCCAGAAGTAGATCTTATCTTGCTTTTCCTCAAAATACTAGTCTTGCCAGCTGAATCTACTTAATGAGCTAGAAGAAACACAAAAATTATATGTTTTGATCCATGTTAAACGACGTAGTCCTTATTTTCTGTGGGCAGAGTGAACTTCGGCTGACTTGACTGAGCCTGTCCCATCGCTTTTATTCAGGCAAAGCTCTCATTCATTAGAGTTTGCCTCAGTAGGGCTTGGCCCAGTTTGTACTGTACTTGTTTAAACGTTCAGTTCTCTGTGCGATCTTGCTAGCCATCCTTCACATACCCTTACATGAGTATATCGTTGTTTGTCTATCTGTCTTCCTAGTAGAATACAATTTATGAATTTAACTCAGTTCTACAGTTGTTGAACAAAAAAAAGGTAAGCGTTTGGTGTGTGTATCTACCTCAGGCTTCGTTTTTCCATCTTCTCTTACAACGTTTTCTTAATTCTCTTGTCAGTGCGTTGCGTTGCTTTGAAACCAAACGAGACTTCCTTCAGTCATAGTAGGAAGGAAATCACTGGTGTAGACATGACAAAGGTGGATGTGGCCAGCCATGCAGCAAACACAAATTAAAAAAAAAAAAAAAGGTAGAAAAGGCAGAGAGGTTTGTGGGTCAAGTGTATTTCATGAGAGAAAGGAGTCAGTGGATGTAGGTTTCTTTCTTTCATTTGGCTGCAGAAAAACGTTCAGATGAGCCTTTTCACTGCTGCAGGAGGTAAGATAACTAATTTTCCCTATTGAAATTATTTCATTTATTCCAACTATTGTAATATGATTTTGCTCAGGAAATGAAATTTTCCTTAGCACTGTCTAATCCTTTGATCAGTTGAATCTGGACGTGCAGGGCAGATGCGATGTTCTCTTGCCAACTTGACGTTTCTTTTGTGTGCTGCACTTTTTGACAATGCTCGGTACTGTCTTCATGTAAAACCGCATCTAAATGTTGCAAGATAGGAGGATGGTTTTGATGGACTGCGTTTCATTTTGAAGTAGGCATTTCAGGATAAGCTTTATATGCCAAATAACAGTGTTTTGCAAACTGAAAAGAACCAAGTGTCCTACAGAAAAAGATCTATTTCCAGTGAAAATTATTTCTCAAGAGGTATTTTTTTAAATACTTGGAAGCCAAACCAGAATTAGCCTTTATGAAAAGTGATTTTAATCTTGGACTTTAGAATACACTGGGGTTTTTTGCTCAGGCCTTGAGATGAAAAGAACTTTAGAAGGGACTAAAATAACAAAGGATTTTTTCTTGTTGCAGAAATAAAGGCATTTTCTCCTTTAAACACGTCATTATCCTGTTAATGAAATCGTCTGCAGTAAGTTTGAAAATATCTTTATTAAAACTGACAAAGAAAAATGTAAATCTGTAATAGCCACAGAGATAACAGCCCTCAACAATACCAGACTTTGCACTCCTAATGATTTTGGTCCATCACAGTCATATCTATTAAGCATTTGTACTGCTTCCAGTTCTACTAGTATTACAGAGAAGAAGCAGGGCCTTTATTTTCTTGCCTACAATCCATTCAGAGCCTATAAAGAAGGCATTTTCAGCCTTGTTTGTGTGGGTAGGTAAATCTGAATGTTTTCATGGGTAGGTAAACCTGAGGTTTCGTCTTTGCTCTTCCTGTCGATGCATTTTACTTCTGAAAAGTCCTGGGATAAGTATGAACCACAGCTGGAATGAGAACCTCCCCCTTTCCAGTTGAACCTCAATCTCCATAGTGCACGTTCTCTCTTCCCTGTTCTGCTTCTGACCCTATCTACCTTGTGTTTGTTTCTCCACAATGTCCCGGTTCCAGCAGAAGAGAAGAAGGTGAATGCACTACATTCCTTTCCACTCTTATCCACAGTGATAAATAATCCTAGTGTTAGGGCACCCTGCAAAGAAGCAGGAGTTGTAGTTGTGAATCCTCTCAGGTTTTGGAGGGAGTTGCATCCTGGTCTCTCGCATCCTGAGACATGTCCTCACCCTCTGTAACTAGTCTTTTGCAAACAGTGAGCCCCTTCAAATCTTTCACTGAATGTTGTAGGCGCTTATATGGAGAAGAAATCCCTGAGTTCTGCACTGCAAGTGGGTCAGGATGCTTCCCTGCAATCTTGCTGCTGGGTCTAGAGCACTAGGGAAACGTAGGGAGTTGAGTTTCAGCCCTGTTTACCATCTGCTATTGCAGTGCTCTGCAGAGCTTCCTGCTCAGCAGAGGCAGGTTGCTGGCTTATCTTTCCACACCTAACTCTTTAAGCACCTATAAACCCCTAAATCTGGGGATTTGATTCCACTACAGGAGCGAAGGTTTTAGTGTTGCAAACACTGTGTGTGCTCTGAAAGAAATTGTTAGAATGGTTCTGTTAAACTACGCTCCATTGGAGGTATTTCTGTGTATGCGTAAGCGCGCGTTCAGTCCTGGCCAGCCTCAGCTCTGTCACAGAATCTTAACTATGGATAATCCTCCTTTCACAGCCCGATGGTACATATTGGAGCTACTGACATTATAAACAATGTTTTTTCTTCCTTGTCGTGTGTGAGTGGACCTGACTGGGTTGATATTACAGTCTTCCTTTCCCAGGAGGAAGAAATACGTGTCATTATATCACAGGATACTTGCTGCCGCGTTGCTGCAGAAGGCAGAAGGTGCCTTTTTTAAGGAGGCAGAGGTGGTCTTGTTATTGTGTGCTATATATAGAAACTTAGAATGTACTGTTACTTGCCAGGAAGATGCTGGGAGCTCTTTGAGATGGAATTGGTTTGGTCACAGTATGTGGCCAGATGATAAGGATGGATAAAAATTGCTTTCCAAGACTTCGAGTAATGGTGGTTACAGCAGCACTCATGAACCATCTTGTTTT